AAATATCTTAAGAGACATTTTGGTAATAACCGTCATACAAACATCCATAAGCTAGGAGATTAGGAAAAAAGTACGTAGTGCAATACTTTAGACTTAATATTAACTATCCAGAAAGAGATTAGAGTTGCACGTAACAAAAAATCCAAATGTAAGTCACAATATTTATTATGCTAAGCATACATGTATTCCACCCACACATATGCTGGTTCCTCAAAAAATATATATTAATATAGAATGCTTATCCATAAGCACTACATATTTGAGGGGGATGTTCTGAGTACTTCAGGCTGTTTAGCTGCATCCCTGGCCTCTACCTACTAGATGGAGTAGCACCTTCTAATCTCTAGTTATGACAGTCAAAAACGTCTACAGACATAGCCAAATGTCCAGTGGCAGGCAGTATCACCACTTACACACTTAATTATTGGCATATAGTCAAGGAGTCAGAAGTTTTGATACTATATTTAATCTATTTGAATATTTAAATCCACATTACATAAGTTGACAGTTTTCACTTCACATTATCTGATAGATCATAAACTTGAAAGTTATGTTGAAAGTCTTGACATGTTAAAGATATTTATAAAGATTTAGTTTATTCTCAGCATCCAATGAGACATCCCTGCCTGATAAGGAGTTGCCATTGTGTTGTGTTGTGTTGTGTCTCCTCATGATTTCTTTGATTTTTCCGTATACTGACTTGGGGATACAACATGGCAAAACAAGTTTCTCTACTTTGTGAATGTTCTCATATACAAAAGACAGGCAACTTCTCTCAGAAAGTTCATAAAATGAATTAGCTAAGGTGGGCTGGTTGTGTTGTAATGCAAACATCACACATACAATAGATCAACAAAGGAAGTATTTATTTCTCACTCAAAGAAAGTACCAATGGAGGGTTATGGCATAGAGGTGGGAAGACCTCTGCTCTCTCCAGTCAATTCCTTCTGTCTTAAACAATGTTGGCCCTCTCCTATGTATGGCTCACAAGGCCACCCTGGGGGTAATCAGCACTTCAGTTCCAGAAAGCATGAGAAATCAGAGAAAGCTGCATAGAGAATTTTTTGTTGTTGCCAGTCCTGTAAGTAATGTTAATCACTTTTGTCCACACTCGAACAGAGTTCAGTTACATAGTCCCACACAACATCAAGAGGCTGAGTATGCAGGCTGTTTCCACAAAACTCTCTGCCATACAGAATTTCTCCCACGCATGAGTACTTTGATGCCTGCTGAGCTGCGAGTTTTGACAAAAAAAAGTTTTCACATTCGTTAGTTATCTTTCCATATCCTCAGGTTCCACATTCTCAGATACAAGCGACAACAGATGAAAAATATTTGATAAAAATAAAACAATTAAAGAACAATGAAATAACACAAAAGACAGCATAACTATTTATATCACACATGTATTCAGTATTATAGGTAATCTACATAAGATATAAAGTATACAGCAGGAAGAGCATAGGTTATACGAGATGAAAAATATTTGATAAAAATAAAACAATTAAAGAACAATGAAATAACACAAAAGACAGTATAACTATTTATATCACACATGTATTCAGTATTATAGGTAATCTACATAAGATATAAAGTATACAGCAGGAAGAGCATAGGTTATACACCAATACTACACTAGTTGCATGAGGGACTTAAGCATCTGCAAATTTTGGCATCCACAGGGAGTCCTGGAGCCAATCCCCTGTGGAAATGGAGGAACAACTGTAGAGTCCTAGGATTTCACTTCTAGAATCATTTTCAAATGCATCCTGAGGTATGACTTCCTGTGAAATGTTTTTCCACTCACTGTATGCACAGGGTTTTTCCAGTGTGAATTCTCTCATGGCTAGTAAGGACTGACTTCTGGCAAAACCTTTTTCCACATTCATTACATTCATAGGGTTTCTCACCTGTATGAGTTCTCTGATGTATACTAAGGGCTGATTTCTGGTAGAAACATTTCCTACATTCATTACATTGATATGGTTTCTCACCTGTATGAGCTCTCTGATGTACAGTGAGGGCTGACTTCTGGCAGAAACATTTGCTGCATTCTTTACATTCATATGGTTTCTCACCTGTGTGAATCCTCTGATGTATATTGAGGGCCGATTTCTGGTAGAAAGATTTCTCACATTCACTACATTCATATGGTTTCTCACCTGTGTGAATTTTCTGATGAACACTGAGGTGTGATTTACGACGAAAGATTTTCCCACACTCGTTACATTCATAGGGCTTTTCCCCTGTGTGAATCCTCTCGTGTATATTGAGTACTGACTTACGGCAAAAAGATTTCCTACATTCATTACATTCATATGGTTTCTCACCTGTGTGAGTTCTCTGATGTACACTTAGGTGTGATTTATAGTAAAAAGTTTTCTTACATTCTTTACATTCATATCGCTTCTCACCTGTGTGAGTTCTCTTATGTCTTCTGAGGAGTATCTTCTGGTGAAAGGTTTTTCCACACTCATTACATTCATACGGTTTCTCACCTGTGTGAATTGTCTGATGCACATTCAGGGCTGATTTCTGTTTGAAAGATTTTCTACATTCATTACATTCATATGGTTTCTCCCCCGTGTGAATTCTCTCATGGTCACTGAGGTATGATTTACGGTTAAAGGTTTTTCCACATTCATTACATTCATAGGGCTTTTCACCTGTGTGAATCATCTCATGTCTACTGAGAGCTGACTTACTGTAGAAAGATTTCCTACATTCATTACACTCATATGGTTTCTCACCTGTGTGAGTTCGCTGATGTACACTGAAATGTGATTTCCGGTTGAAGGTTTTCCTGCATTCTTTACATTCATATGGTCGCTCACCTGTGTGAATTATCTGTTGCCTAGTAAAGTCTGACTTCTGATAAAAAAATTTCTCACATTCATTACAAGCACTGGGCTTCTCCCCTGTAGATGTTCTCGGATGTATGGTTAGGAGTGGTTTCTTAATAAAGGATTTCTCACATTCACTACATTTGCAAGGTTTTTCTCCTGTTTGTATTTTCTGATGTTCAGTAAGTTTAGACTTTTTATACATTTTCCCACATCCATCATACTGAATAGTTTTCCTCCCTACCTGAGTTATCTTATGGTCCATGAGAGATGACTTATCAAAGACTTTCCCATATTCCTTATATTTACAGGAGGTCTCTCCCATATGAACCTTCTTATGTGTAAATAATATTGCCTCTGTGTTGAAGGCTTTCCCTTGTCCACTATATTCAAAAGGCTGCTGCCCAGTTTGAATCTTGTGATGATGACTAAGATGCTCGTTATGTCTGCAGGATTTCCCAATTATGTTATGGTCATCAGTTTTCTCTCCAGCATGGGTCTCATCAGGCTGTCTAGGAAGAAGTGGATTCTGCCATACATTTAACTCCTCATGCCTCATTCCTGAATAGTTTCCATTACTTATAATCAGATTTGAAATATGCTTTGAGCTCAGATGAAATGTTTTTCCTAACTCAACTCTCTCATCAGTTGACGTTTTGCTGTTGGTGATTACAACTTGCCACAAATGTCTACCATGACTTTCTTGGCTTTTCTTAATTAGGTCATTGACTACCTTGACACCTGAAATGAGAAAAAAATAGCCATATCCATGAACAACACATAAGTATTGCCTATGGAATGCTCATGTAAAAGTAAAAAAGTTTCTTCCCTTTTTAGTGGCATAAGATTGTAAAAAAATCAATAATGAGCATTGATTTTATAAGTATGTTTTGCATACATACAACTTATTGGAATAAATTATATTAACATATTTTCTATGTTCAATCATGTTTTACTTTGCTTCTTTTTTTCTTTTTCCTTTTTAATTCAAAAGGAAATATTCACCTCTTGGCTAGCTGTAGTTTTCCACCAAGTGCTTATCATAAAGCCATTTGTTTACTCTACTCTTTTTCTCTATTTCATTCTTATAACAACAGTGGGTGTCTCATGCTGCTCTTTTTCTCATTATCCTGCTTTGAAGATTGTAAGGTTTCTCTGGATCTGCTACTTTCAGGTTCAGGAACAGGCCCCTTTTCTGTCATTTAAGGAGTATTGGGGCTTACAATCAGGATTTTGTACATTTGCCTAGTTTTCACTCTTCCCTAGGGGATAGCTATAGTCATATGGAGGGTTTCCAAATAAAAAAATCTCCTTTTCCCCACACTAGATGAAGACAGCTTCCTACAAGTTCCTCATTTAACCTCACATCCTCTACTTGTCTGAATGCTCCAGTCCACCACCCTGGGCACCCGCTTGCTGCTGGTCTAAGACATTTGGTTCTGCAACCCAGGCTGTTCCCACTTTTGTTCCAAAATATATTTCTAGCTCCTTTTCAGATCAACTGGCATCTTCCTCCCAATATTTAGTGCATCCACTCTTGCTTGATAATTCATTGCTTATAAAGCTTTTGTTTCATGTGTTGGGGTTTTCAGCTGTTTCTTATTTTCATAAGCGAAAAAGTCTTATGTACATTTCTCATTCTCTTTGTTGTTTTAGAACGATTTCCAAAACAAAGAGGACATGCTGACTTCAAACTCCACTCACAAACAGAAATCTGAGACCTCTCAACTGAAACCTTTGATTCACATGACCTTGGAACACAGTACCTCCTAGTTCACCTCCAAAGCCTAAGACCCCCTTTCCATGCACCTATGCTTGTTCCTCCTAAACTTCCTGCCTTCTGATTTTGTGGTACACAAGGCTCATTTCTGGATCCTTAAATATTTAGCCAACTCTCCAGGTGACCTCCCCTATAAATGTGACTTTGAATACCACCTTTACCCCACTGATTTCCAAACTTGTAACTACAATAGTGATGTCCACTATCAAATATAGATTTTATATTCACATATGTATTCTATCATTGAAAGAATTCACTTGAACTGAAGCTATGCCAAAGTGAACACTTAGTCTTCCTAAAACTTCCTTCTCTAAACATCTTTCCTAAATTCTCACATCCCCTTTTTCTATCTCACTCTGGTTAAATATTCTTCATGATTCTTATACAACTACTTAACATATATTTCTTTCTCATTTCTCTCTCATAAGAATGTAAACTCCAAGAAAAAAGAATATTAGTTGGATCATTGCTGTAATAAGTAAAAGTATAAAATTACCAATGATTAAAACCTGCTTAATTAAGATATGTTAAGACTTAAATGAATGTATGAATAAACCTCTGTGCTACTTTGCACATCCCACCCATAACCCTCAAAACTCATACTGAAGCCTGACCATCACTGTATCAGTGTTAAGAGGTTGGGAAGTCTGACCATAGTATTTGAAAGATGGAGCTTTAGAAAGATGGTTGAATAGTGAGGGCTATGCCCTCATGAATGGATTAATCTATTTATAAATGGGCTAATGGTTTAATGAGTTAAGGAGTAGACTGGTGGCTTTATAAAAAGTGGATAAAAGTATGTGGGCATTCTTTTTTACTTTTGCCATGTGATGCCCTGCACTACTTCCAGAATCTGCAGAGATTCCCCCCACTAGGAGAAAGCCCTCTACCTTAAACTTCCCAGCCTACAGAACTAAAAGAAATAAGTTTTATTTTCTTATAAATTACCCAGTTTCAGGTATTCTGTTATAAGCAACAGAAAACAGACTAATACAGTCTGAGAAAAATGTCCTTGTGAATGGAGAAAAAGAGAGCAACTGAGAATATTGAGAAAGTGAACAGAAAAGACGAAGGTCTTAGAAAAGAAAGGTAGGGGTTTGATTTGAGGTAAATATAAAAAAGTACTTTGCAAAATAAAAGGTGGGGGTATAGGTGTGAGAGACCACTTTGAAGATTATATAATGCAAGTACTTCATGCACGCAGTCCAGCTATTCTCAGGTGTAAAACCTGGGACAAATATTGGTAAAAACAGCTGAACACTGCCAACATCTCCTGGGATTTATTGCCCGGTATGTGCTGACCTTGTAAGCTCTGATTTGGGTGTTCTTCTATTGTCCATGGCTCTGCTTCTTGCTCCAACTTGAAGATCACCTCAGGTTTGGTAATGCAGTGCCCTGTTAATGGGAGATAATGTAGGAATTTGCCAAGCTGCTAAGTCAGATCTTTGAAAAATGACAAGAGCTTCAGAAGCTGTAAAATGATGAAGACAATTTGAAACTTTCATTGAAGAAGGATGACACACTCTCCATGGAATGGAACCTTACCTAAAGAGCATTAAACCTTATAAATGGTTCCTACACTGACCAACAAAAAAGAAAGTGTTGCTCCTGGGACTTACTGTGGTTTCACTCACCCAATGACACCAGGTTGCTATAGGTCTCCAGCATCACATCTTTGTACAAAGTCCTCTGATCATCATCAAGGTCCTGCCACTCCTCCCAGGTAAAGTCCACAGCCACATCCTCAAATGACACCAACCCCTGTAATGGCACATTTCTCCTCAACTCAAGTCAGCAGCCCTGGGTCACAAAACAGGAATCTGGGAGTTCACACTTCTGTGTGTGTATCATATTTATCTTACATAAGATGTAGCTTCTTTACACTCCATATGGTAGGAAAAAGAAAAACAACAGTAGAAATATCATGCCACTGTAATAATTTATTAATTACAAAAAATACTATTACAAAGATTACTTTATAGATCTAGAACCACTCTTATTACTAGGGATAAAAGTAAAAATAAAGTCTGTTCTGCCAAGCAGTTTAAAATCTGGTATAAATACATACCTAAAATAATGTGTTAGACAGACTAATTTAGACTCAAGTTTGATATAGAGGGGTAGGAAAGAATGGGAAAATATAGTTCTATTTCATACTCAGTTTGCACTCCACTGAAATGCCAAAGATGTTTAGCAATTCCACGTGAACCATGTATTCATGAATATGAGGAAACAGCAAAAGTCCAGTCATAAGGGTACAAAGAACACACACCACATTAATGGAAGTACACACAGAACCACGTCTAGGTGAATGATCCAGGGCTGTCATGAGATAAACACAATTTGACCTAGGAAAAAAAATTTATGCACTTAGCACTGATTTTTTTTTTTGTCCTTTTTGAGACCGGCCCCACCGCGCTCAGCCAGTGAGCGCTGTGAGCGCACTGGTCATCCCTATATAGGATCCGAACCCACAGCGGGAGCGCTGCTGCGCTCCCAGCGCCGCACTCTCCCGAGTGCGCCATGGGCTCGGCCCCCTTAGCACTGATTTTTAATTACTATAAACTAAAAACATACACACAAGCATCCCCAAATTTCATTCAACATGCAAAAAATTGCTCATGTCCACCCCAGGGTGAACACTACCACATCCCAAACCATAGGGTGTAAATAATGAAATTATGTAAAAACAGTTAAGTTACATAACCAGATTTGCATTTTAATAGTCATCGACTAGGAGAATGCAAGAGGACTTAAATGCAAGTCAAAAGGGAAGGAAACAGGGTGACAGATGATCCCCTACACCAGGACACAGAGCAGTGAACACACAAAATAAGAAAGTAATCTCATAAAAGAGGGAAAAAAGCAAGGACAAAATTTGGTACTAATTTACTGTACAAAAGGCAAAAACAAGCGTTTTACTCCAAGACTATACATAAAATTTGGGAAATGGAAGAAAAAACAGACACAAGTGACAAAGACTCAAACACATTATATTTGAAATACCTGTGGGGGTGTCCAAATGGAAATTAGATAAATGATCCCAGAGTTCAGGAGAAAGATCTAAGCTGAAGATATAGATTTAGAAAGTACCAGAATTTCAATGGTACCTAAAGCCATCAGAGCAAGTGAACCTAAACGACTGAAGAAAAAAAAAGAAAAAAGAAACAACTACAGAATCTGCAGAAACACTAACGTTTAAAGATAAAGAAAAATAGACTGGAAGACCGAGAAAAATTTTTCTGTGTTTATTCCACAAATAAAGGAAGCTCAGTATTAAGATGTCTACCAATACAATTCATCATATTTATAATTCCATGGAGCAAAATCCTTTGATTATCCACATAGTTATTAAGAAGGTACTTTTAGAAATATATTCCAGGTTTCTGGGCCAGCCCATGTCTCACTTGGGACAGTATAGTGCTCATAACACCAACGCCACGAGTTCAGATCCCTATATAGGGATAGCCAGTTAGCTCGCCTGGGAGAGCATGGTGCTGACAACACCAAGTCAAGGGTTAAGATCCCCTTACTGGTCATCTTAAAAAAAAAAAAAAATTCCGGGTTTTTTTTTTTTTTTAAGATGACCAGAAAGGGGGTTTTAACCCTTGACTTGGGGTTTTCAGCACCATGCTCTCCCAGGCGAGCTAACTGGCTATCCCTATATAGGGATAGCCAGTTAGCTCGCCTGGGAGAGCATGGTGCTGACAACACCAAGTCAAGGGTTAAGATCCCCTTACTGGTCATCTTAAAAAAAAAAAAAAAACATTCCAGGTTTCTATTTCTGTATGTAAAAGGCTTAAAAATCATTATACCATCCTAGACACAAATATAAAGCTGAAGAGACTAAAAAATCAAATCTTCTTGGATCTGTAAGAGAAGAGGACCCAGGGCAAATTGCTGCCAGATTAGAGGCAGACAGGCAAATATATGGAGTCATGGCTTACAGAAGCAGAGACTTACTAGAGGAAACCATCATGGGAACCAGTACCAGAGTAAGAAAACCTGAATTGTGACTGAAAAATTGCTAGAGGCTCAATGTGAAAACTCAAAGGTAAAAACTCCAGGGGCACTCTGTCATAGGCAGGCCACCACAATACTGTGAAATTAACCTCCAAGAGCTCAACCAAGTTTCAATAGAAGTAGTAAACTCCCTCCTGCTTCCACCTGTAGGAGGGAAAAGGTAAGCCACTTTGAAATATGCCAGAGCACTCTGTTCTTCTTAACAAAGCCTGCACTCAAAAGAAACTACTTAATCAGGGCTTAACCCGCTATGCTATCATCAGAGCCTAAATGACCTAAGTGAAGGGAAATACTCAATTCCAACCAACTCTAGCCTTCCACATGGAAAAAAGGAAAATATCAAATTCTGGCCCACTTCAGCCACCAGTTTCCACCTAAGAAGATTAAAAAAACAAACTGAAAACACTTGTGAAGTTCACAGTCCAAAGATAGAAGTTCACTAAGAGAATGAGAATTAATCAGAGGGCTACAGAACACTTCTGCTACAGTCCAGTTGTGTTCCCCCAAAATTCATATGTTTGAAACCTAATCCCCAATGCACTAGAATTAAGAGGTGGGGCCTTTGGGAGATGACTAAGTCTCGAGGGTAGAGCTCTCATGATAGGGATTAGTGCCCTAACAGAAAAGGACCAAGAAAACCTTTCTGCCTCTTCCACCATGTGAGCACACAAAGTAGGTGCCATCTATGAGAAATGTACTCTCACCAGAGAATGAATCTCCTGCATCCTTGATCTTGGACTTTCCAGCCTCCAGAACTAGGAACAATAAATTTCTGTCCTTTATGCATTACCCATTCTAAGGTACTTTGTTATATGAGCCCAAACAGACAAAGACATCTTCCTCTTCTCCACACCTTACCACCACATTACTGAAATGAATATTTACAGTAGTTACTTTTCTCTGGTATATCATGTCTGGATATAAAGGAAAAAAATTATGAGGCAGTTTAAAAAACAAAAACAATTTGAAGTAAAAGAGCAAGCATCAGAACAAGACAAAGCTAGCATCTTGAAATTAACAGACAGGGAGTTAAAAAAACTGATTAATATGCTAAGGGCTCAAATGGATACAGTAGACAGCATTCAACAACAGATGGGCAATGTAAGCAGAAAAAGAGAAGTCCTAATAAAGAACCAAAAAGAAATACCACAGATCAAAAATACTGTAAGGGCCAGACCATGGCTCACTTGGGAGAGTGTGGTGCTGATAACACCAAGGCTGCCGGTTCAGATCCCTATATAGGGATGGCCAGTTGCCTCACTTGGGAGAGTGTGGTGGTGACAATGCCAAGACAAGGGTTAAGATCCCTTTACCGGTTATCTTTTATTAAAAAAAAAAAATACTGTAACAGAAATGAAGAATGTCTTTGACTGTCTTACTAGTAGACTGGACAAAGCTGAGGAAAGAATCTCTGAGCTTGAGAATATGTCAACAGAAACTTCAAAAACTAAAGAGCAGGGCCGGCCCGGTGGCGCACTGGATAGTGCGCCGCTTGAGAAGCGCGGCGGCGCTCCCGCCCGAGGGTTCGGATCCCACATACAGAC